AGCCACCACTTAGACAAGAAAACGGTTCCTTTTCTAGAATGGTTTTAAACTTTTTTTGGATAAGTAAAAAAAAAATTATTAAAAAGAAAAAAAAAAAGAGATACAAGGGAACATCTGAGGCACAGCTCAAGATACTAAGCAACAGAAGAACCAACAAAAAGCCTCGAGCCGGGAAAGAGATATTCACACCTACGAGCCAAACCGATTCCTTTCACAAACAAAAAGAACCAATTCAGAGAAACCCCCTGCCAACCCCACCGTCCACACACCCAAAAACAGCCTAAATCAACTGCTTGCCTTTACCACTCCTACCTTTGCCCGTGAATTGATTTTGCCCTCCTCAAATCTATTTTAACTGAAGAATCAACGTAAAAATCTACCAACTTCCTCAACTTTCTACTCCCTGAAAGACCTCCAAACCTAAAAGCATCATCGGCCTCATCAACAGAAACATTGCTGCTCTTTTTCCCTTTCTTTCTACGACTCCAACTCAAAGATTTTCAGACCCAACTCTCCCCTCCTAAACAAAAAAAGAATACCACACGACTTCACTACATGGATTTCTCGCTTGACAACAAGTGACCCTTTTTGTCTGCCTGACTCCCCAGAAGACACGGCTGACCGGATCTTCTCCTCCTGGATTTTTTTTCTTTGAGACATCGACTAAGGCCTCCAATTCCCTGCTCTCCAGAAGCAGCACAGAGCTTGAACACGATTCCCCACCCTTGGCCAACTCCGTTGCATACTAAACCCTTCTTTCGACATTCCTTTTACAAATCACCTTCAGGTCCGCCCTCTTTGCCACCCCTTTTGTTAAGATCAGGCTCCTCAAATTCCTGATTAAGTTTAAACTTTGTATTCTATTTTCTTCATTAATAAAAAAAAAATACATTTTATTTATCATATTTGTTTTTTTAATATAACAAATATATAACATTGAAGATGTGTCAAATGTTTTTTTACAATTTTATTTTTTTTTTAATTTTTATCTATTTTAAAAATTTTACTATTTGATTATGGCATCATAGGTGAACCCATTTAAAATGGTTGAATTGATTACCGGCCACTTGATAATTAAATCAACTTTGTTTTCAAGTCAATTTTAAAAATATAAGCTTTCATACTATTAAAATTATAGCTTATGAATTTAACTATTGGAATTTAATGATAAAAAAACAAAGATATCTTAAATATAGGATTCAATGAAGAAAAAAGAGTTTATGTCTCGAGGAAATAGAATGAACTAAATAGTAATATTCAAATAGGACTTTTTACAAAATAAATAACATAATTTTAACAAATAACAAATTCAGTGAAGTTGTTAAAATAATGTTGAATTCAGTGAGCGGGAGAAAAACTTAAGCATTGAACCGAACTACCCTTATATTACAAAAAGAAGAACTGCCATTCCCTATTACCCATAAATTCATTATAATCTAATTTTAAAACCTATGCTTATCTACAGAGAGAGAGATTTTCATAAACATGAGCTGCAAAATCCAAATGAGATTAATTATATAACCCAAAACCAAAAGAAGAAATGGAGTTGAATTTTGTAAGAGAGGTGAAAATGTGAAATTGCAAAAATTGTCATTGAATATAATGATGCATGCATTGGGATTTGATCCCTAATCTTGTACAAATTTAATTCGTCTAATTTTTCATGGGAGTGCAAGTATAGGGTTGTGAGAAGTGGAGAGATTGTTGACAAGACCAATCTATATATGCATCTCCTTTTAATTAGTTTGAATAGATGCCTTCTTTGTGTTCATAGGAAGTTGAAGTTCTCATTTCTGCCCTATTTTGTTGACATTAAATAAATCCGTACTGGTACTCGTGGTTCACCATGTTTTTGGCTGGTGGCCCTTAAAAACCATTCCCTGATTTGTGGGAAAAAGGTTGCAGAAATGGGGAGGGGAAAAGGTCTGAGGAAGATGAACAGTTTCTCACTTTTGTTCTTTTCTAATACATGGGCATTGTGGTCCCGAAAAAACTCTCTTCCCGCTCACTGTATATGCTATTAATTTCCAAACATAACCGAATTTGCCAATACAGCAAACTTGATCATTTTATTTATAAATAAAAACTGCTATTCAAATTACAATTTCCATCATCACATTATAAGACCAAATACAAAACAAAATATCCATTAGCAAAGCATAAAGCAAGGAGAATACAATTGGATCAAATCAAAACGAGAACTCTCTTCCCCACGAGAATTGAACACATCCAAAAATCACATATTCATAGATGTAATAGGAATTACTCATCCCACAAGAAAGTCTGAAAGGTAGTATTAGTTTCCAAATAAAAAATTAACTTAGTTAAGCTGGAATTTAGTGTGCAAATTCTAAGAATTTAGGGTTGTGAAAAATATTTTCTGGACAAGTCACCAATAAAGCTAGGAAGAATCCAACCCCACTCTCTTATTCAGCCATGATTTTTAAGTCCATGCATCCCTTTCAAGGGTTATGCATGGAAGACCATCTACAGCACTCGGTGGAAAGTGATCAATTACAAGTTGAAGGGGATAGATGAGTTAAGAAAGATAAAAAAGGACTTGAATAAAAGTAATAAAAAATGGTTTAAGAATTCATAATTTAATGATGGATATGGCACTGAATAGAACCAAATGACAAAATAGGATTCATGTAACGGACCCCAAGCTTTGATGATAATGATAATCCCTTTCAAGGGCTATATAAATAACAAATCCCTAATTTAACATGGACACATCTTAAGTTATGGGCAAGAGTTCTCCATCCCTACTTGTGAGATGTGAGAGTAGGCTAGTAGCATTATCAATTTAGCATGGGCTAGACGATCACTCTTATTCCAACAACCCCATAAGAAAGTTACATACATAGTTTATGATATGTACTAGTAGCATACTAACCACTGATCCAAGTACTTTTTCTGTCATGCCAAATAATATACCAAATATATAGTACCTGAAGGCTTAAGTTTTTCTAGTGGATGTCTCAATTAGACCTGTTCATGGGCCGGGTGGCCCGACGGGCCGGCCCGGCCCGGCCCCCGGACGGGCTTGAGCATGTGTTTTAGCCCGTGGGTTTGACCTCGGGCTTAAAATCCTGAGCCTGACTATTTTACGGGCCGGGCTTGGGATTTGTTAAAAAAGCCCGGCCCGGCTCGACTTTTCCTAAACTACCTAACCCTAACCCTAAATACTTAAAATTTTTCTTTTCATTCTCCGTTCTCACTCTCACTCTCACAGAAGCGGCTCTCATTTCTCCCTCTCAACTCTCAAAACCGGTGAACCTAACCCACCTGCAAACTCAGTCACCGACGGCCGATTCCACCAGAAGGTCCAAAACTAGTCATCTCTCTCTTTGGCGGTGATCTCTCTCTCTCTCTCTCTAGCTGGCACCGTTTTCATCTTCTTTCTTCTCATTCTTAGTTCTCTCTCCAACCAGTGGCCCAGCACCACCAGAACCCAGGCGCACCGTTTTCATTTTGCGAACTCAGGCACCGCCGCACCGGCGGCTGGCACCACCAGATCTAGATCGTCTCTCTCTCTCAAGCGATGAGCTCTCTCTCTCTCTCTCTCATCGGCACTGTTGTGTGTTGTCATCTTCTATTTTCTCACTTTCTAGGTTTCTATTCCCACTCTCAGACTCCCAGGAATCGGCGAACTCAACAGGCACCATTCTCTCAGACAGCACCGGCACTCAGACTCCCAAGTCGGGCTTTGGGCTCGGGCCCGAACTTCGGGCTTTTTTGAGGGCCGAGCCCGGGCCCAAGTTTTAGGCCCGTTGGTCGGGCCGGGCTCGGTCTCGGGCTTGAAAAGTTTATGTTAATAAAGAGCAAAAGCCCGACCCGAGCCCGGCCCGGCCTGGCCATGAACAGGTCTAATCTCAGTATAAGTGCTAGTACCGGTACCATGTACGATAGACCATTTATAACAAATGCGCCGGGCATGAAAGTAAAGCTAAAGTGATGGGATCTCCGAAGGTGGTTGACACCAACGATGGCACCAATGGATAAGAAACGGTGGTGGTGTGACTGGTGCCAGAGGTACTGATGTTGCCAATTGGTGGTGGTACTGTGGAGGGATGGTGGCAATTAGTTGCTCCTGAGGACTGGGTCCACCCCACGCAAAGGTTTTATCCAGTCCACCCCTCTCAACACCCCAGATAGAAGGGGCCAACATTGGGTAATGGTCCCCGCCACTCAAACCTTTGAACACTTTGGGCCTGAATTTTAAATGAACCGGACCAGATGTTGGGCTCAAGTCTCTTCATAATTTAATAAATGATTTTAATGCTTCAACAACAAGTATTACCAAGGCCCAAGCATTTTATGATAACCCAATCTCATGTCAGATTTATAAATCAGAAATATGTTCACTTTATGGCTAAAAGATTGTTGCTTTGAAGCCAGAATGCATCCCATCTATTTGCAAGATCCATGCCCTAACCAACCTGTTTTTGGTGGTCCTAATTAACCTGTTTCTTTATTTTGTTTAGCCAGTTAGCTTTCAGTAATTAATATGATAGAACAGCATGATACTTTTTTTTGCTAGTCTTTTTCAAAGTATAAACTCTAAAAGTATACAAGCATACACAGCTTTTTCAAAAAGAAATCTCCTTTCCCTGATTAAGACAACTGGGACAAAACCAAGTTCAAAAATTGATACGCACGATACGCCGGTAGGGGCATATTGGTACATTTTTTTTTTACTTTTTTTCAAAACCGGTTAAGAGGGGCTGGTTTAAGGCTCCTCCACCCCCTGAACCGGTCAGAAGCCCGATACACCCCCTGTAGGGGCGTACCAGGGAGCTCCCGAAACGATAAGTATCGGCCAATACAGGCCGATACGTGTTGATACTTTAAACATTGGACAAAACAACAGAATAAGGTCAATTCTAGAGCATTAACATATCCAAAATCTTCTTAAACCTGATCCCGCCAAGAGAAGGTGGCAACTATTGACCACACCTATCAGCATTCTTAGAACTGGCAGAAAACAGGTAATGATGTAAAATAGAATGGAATTCAGATGTTTTTCCCTGCTTATAATTAGTTTTTTTTTTTTTTGGTAATGCAAATGTGCAAATGTGATTTGACATCTATACAACAAATTTACAAATTTGTCACAACAGAAAGGTATCATCATCAAAACCTGCTGCAAAAAGCTCCTCAAGTTGTTCATCTGTCCACTGTGGGACTGAAGCTTTTGAAATCTCCTGCTGCCTCTGATTTTTAATTCCAATACTTTCTATTTCACACTCATCAGATTCATTAACAGAGTTTTCTGCAACAGAAGCATTTTTATGCCCACTGATGCCATTAATGTTTTGCAATGGTGTACCTTCATCTGGGCATCTACCATTATCGGCCATTTTCTCTGCTTCACTGTTGGCATCTTTTTTGGCAGTCCCCTTGGAGATTTTTTCAATTGTTTCCTGTCTCACTGCCAAGAATTTCTCCAATGCAGCAGCACATCCATGCCTACTACTGCTGTGAAAGTTGAAGCTTCCAATTGCTGGATCATGTTTCTTCAATTGTCTATCGGCATCCACTGTCCCTACTTCATTTCCATCCATTCTAATTGTATGCCTCAAAATTTCTTCAGGTGCTATCCGTCTCACAGGTGATGATTTCTCTGCCATCCTAGATCTGATTCCCCTGCACTCACCTGATCGTGAGAGCTAGATCAGTAGTATACATTTCTTTGTTCCACAGGGCTACACAACGGGGGGTAGCCCATCTCCCAAACCTATAACCCCCCACCACCACCAAATCCTGGTGAAGGCAGGATTTTAACCCAAGTCTCCGCTACAACCAGCCAGAGACCTTACCAACTGAGCCAGCTGGCACCTTCAAGGTAGATCAGAAATGGGACTATAAAGATAAACTACCTGTATCAGCAGCAGCAGAAGCAAATCTCACTGTAGATGCAGGATAAGTTCTTCTTGAAGAAGGTCCACAATCTTTACTTATGACCTGTTGTTGAAAGGAAAAGATATACTAGTCTTGTGGGTGAGATGCTTCATCTTATCTGTTGTAAGGATACAGACAAATGATAACAAGACTCTCCTGGAAAAGAACACAAGAGTAACTGTCCTATAAGCCTGGTTTATCAGTATAATAACTAGGTCTAATAATTCTATCAAGTATCAAGTATTAATGTGCTTTAAAAGTTATATTTTGACCAATTTTTAACTAGTGGTAGGAAAGGCTTTGGGACCTGTTAGTGTCACAGTAGAAGTTTAGAAGTGCAGAGAAGAGATGAGAACATTATGGCCAACTAAGTTAGTTGCATGATCAATGAAGAAAAAGTACTATGGTTCCTAATTGTATATATATCAAAGCAAAAAAATGGTGTAAAAAATTGTGCTAATTATCATGGGGTTAAACTTATGACAATAGTAAGAAACTTTAGGAGAGTGGTTGAGGACCGTCTAAAGCATGAATCTAGAGTATCAGATAACCTTTTTGACTTTATGCCAGGAAGATCAACTATTAAAGTGACCTTTCTACTTGGGAGAATCATCATCATCATCATTAGCCCAACTATATGGGGTCAACTACATGAATCATGTTTTGCCATTCCATTCTGTTTAATGTCATATCCATTGTTAAACTTCTATCTAGGAGAACATGAAAAAAAAAATCAAGGAAAGGAGGAGAAATCTCTAAATGGTATTTATTGATTTATAAAAAGCACATGTCGGGTCACCAAGAAGGTGATCTGATTCATGGTAGGTTTTGCAAAAGAAAGAGGATCTATACATGCATTGATATCATCAGTATATTTTTAATAGGGAATAACCAGTTTGGAAACTATGACTTTCCAACAAAGCTCAGTGGGCAGCCCAGTGCATGAGGCTCCAACCAATGCAGGTAAGGGGTGTCGATTGGACTGGATTTGGTCCAATCCGATCCAGTCCAATGTGAGTCCATTACAAATGGACCAGGTCCAATCCAATCCAATGAATAATCCGGACCCTTTTGAACTGGTCCAATTCAATGTTCGGACCATCTAATTTGTTCAAATTCATTTTAATTTAAATTGGTTTCAACCCAAACCCGGTCCATTGATACCTATATTCTTATCTTATATCAATGGACCAGATATTGGTTTAATCCAACCAAATCCAATATAAATTTATTGCGGACGGACCAGGTCCAGTCCAATCTAATAAATATTTTGGACCGGATTGGTCCAATCCACTGTCTTTTTGGTCTGTCCAATCCATCCAAATTGATTTTGGACTGGACCCCGTCCAGTCCAAAACTGGTCCATTGGCACCCTTAAATGCGGGGTCTGGGGAGGGACAGATGTACACAGCCTTACCCCTGCACATACAGAGAGGCTGTTTCCAAAGCTCAGTGCTTAATCCATATCCTATTGCATTAGTTATGCATTATAAAAAATGCCCTTACAAGAACAAGAACATACCTGTTGTGCATGTTATTTACTGATGGTATGGTTTTGATTGATGAGACTGAAGCGGCTAAATACAAAGCTAAAATGGTCAAGGGATGTATTGCAATCAAAAAGTTTTAAGAAAAGGACCATGACAGAATACATGGCAGTATATATGCATTGCATTTTGGCAACAAATAGGAGTAGCAATGGGGATGCAATTTAGATCAATGATCAAAAAATGTCCCAAATTAATTTATTACTTTGGCTCCACCATCCATAATTAGAGAGAAACTAAAGGGGTTGCTCATAGAACTAGAGATAGTTGAAATGGAGAAGTGCATCTAGGGTGTTATGCGATTAACATGTACCAACAAGACAAAGGAAAATTCTATAAAATGACTAGAAGGCCAACAATATTATGTGGAACTAATCAGGAAACAATAATTCCATAATATGACAGTAACTGGGATGAGGATGCAAAGATGGATGAGAGGCAAAACTAGGAAGAAAAGAACCAGAAACAGACACATCTAGGAAGACAAAGGAGTGGCCAAGTAGAACTATTAAAGCCGCATTTGCTTGAGGTGTAAATAGAGAACCGAGGTAAACTTTACACTCCGGTCTGATTTTGCTAGCATTTGGATGTGATGATGTTTTACATCGGTGGAAAGTTACCACCGATAAAATCGATGTAAAACTCCATCTTCTCAAAACTCGATGGAAACTTATATTTACACTTTTACACCATGATGACTACCAAATGACAACAGTGTAAATCTCAAAAAATCAATGGTTCCCTTTTACATCGTTCAGAAAACCGGAAGCCTCTTTTTTATCAATAACCAGAAGGGGCTGCATTTGGGCCTAGGTATGCCTTTTAAATCACTGAATGTTAGTATTAATCAATTACTAAATGAGGGGTGATTAACTAATATGGTATCCCAAGTTCAGAAGACCATTATTTGACTGGGAGGCGGAAGAGTATATTGCAATGCTGGACAGACTAGAAAAAACAAAAGTATCAAGCTCTTCAATGGATAAGTTGTGGTGGAAGGAGTATAGGAATGAAAAATTCTTTTTGAAGTCCCATGCAGCTCTAATTTAAAATCAACAGGAAACCTACACAGGTTGTAAGTGTATGGGATAATCCTATTCCACCAAGAGGGGAGGCTTTTGCATGGCTGGTTGCTATAGACAGTTTTTTCATCCCTTAATCAGCCGAGTGACAGTTAGGAGTTGTCTCTTCCGGTCAAGGAGGTCTGGAATAAACCCATTCCGCATAGGGTGGGTGGTTTTTTCTGGAAAGTGTTTCTAGAGAGAATTAATACTTGTGAATTACTGCAAAGAAAAAAATTACCAAAATGATTTGTTTTTATAAATGAAATTTACCAAAATAAATTAATGCAAAGAAAAAGACCTAATTGGTGTCTTTCACCTCATTTGTGCTCTGTCTGTAAGGTCAATGGTGAGAATTGCTATCATTTATTAATCTCCTGCCCTTTTCTTCTTCAATTTGGGAATGGTTTCTTTCTTTGTTTGGGTGTAGGTGGAACCCTCCATCAAATGTACAAAATCTGTTCGCCTCTACCTTTGTTAGTTGGCCAAAGAAGAGGGGAAGAATATTATGGAAGTGTACAAGAGCATCAATTTGTTGGACAATTTGGGAAGAGATGAACCAAAGAGTTTTTTTTTTTTTTGATGAATGTGTAACTAGAGAATTTTTCTTGATAAAGAAAGAAGCAGGGATGCTATTATTGAAGCCACTACCATCAAAGTAGTTAGGGGTGGCAATTTCTACCCTACCCAGTGGGTACCTGCCCAAACAAGGCAGGTTCTTTTGCTTGAAGGATGGATTTCGGGACAGGTTTTGAGATTCTACAACCTATAAGAGCACAGGTAGGGTACGGTATTAGGCTAAACCCAACCCTCCTTGACCCGCATATTGTTGAAAAACATATGAACTTTATATATTAAGTGTTGAATTTAATAATATTTTGAATTTTATGTGAAGGATAATTGATAGTTTATGTATTTTTATGTGCCTTGATCAATTAGAAATTTTGTTGTTTGCTCATGTTATTTTACTTATTTATTGCTTATACATAACAAGAAATAATAGGAAATTAGATGCAGGTTCTAAACCCAACCCGCCCTACCCTTGAATGAGAGGCGGCTAGGGTCAGGGAGGGATTTTCATTTTCATGTGTGGGGAGGGTTTGGATTCTCAAAATCCAACCCGCTACGGGTTTTGGGGTGGGTACAGGTTGGGAGGTTTAGAGAGGCAGATAGGGTCTAGAATTTACAAAACCCTCCCCGAACCTACCCTGTTGCCATCCCTAAGAGTAGTCCATTGGGTGAAGACACTGGATATCAAGATCTTTAGATGAACAATCTATGTCATTTTTTTTTAAGATAAATAAAGAAAAAACCATTAATAAAGAGAAAAAACTACAAACAGTGATGAGAAGTCACCACAATCAGAACAAAAAAACCCTGCCCTAGCCAACCTCAAGCACATCTCCCCCCTACCCCCACCCAAATCCAAATTGAACAAATAACAGACCCAACAATTACCACCCAGCTCTCCATCTAGAAACCCAAATTACAGACTACCCAAACTTAACGCTCCATCCCAAAATACGACAAAAAATCAATCACTGCAGTCCAGCATCAGCAACATTAGGCACCTCTTGCTTTTCTTTACTTTTTTTTCTTAACCCTCTTGTTGGTTCCCACCCCAAATAGACCCACTTTCAATCTAGCAAAAACCTTTGACACTGGCACAGGTCTGTTGAATTTTTATGTCTAAATCTTTTAACAGCAATACAGCATTAGGATGGCCTACACCAATCTTTTTATCTCCATTCTTTTCATTTTACCCTTCCAAGCTCCAAGACTGCGTTTTTTTCAAATATTTGCTCTGCTGTCATACTACCTCCCTTATATTTGCTCTGCTTCTTTCCGCAGTTTGTCATCCTCCCCCCCCCCAGTAGTAGTAGCTTCTGAAGCAATTAAAGCCTTCTTACCAGCATTTGAACCTTCACCTGGAACCTCTTCCACTTCCCGGAAAGCTTGCCTAGCAAAATCCTCTCCACCCAAGTAGAGTAGTCCCAAAATCTTGCTTACCTCCACCTCTTTGTTGATCACTGTTTCCAGATAGTCCATTCTCTCGATTTCATGAGTCTTGTCCATAACGATCTCTCCATCCTCCTTTTCCGTTTCCGATCCATCCACTAAAATATACATTCTGTAACTTCTCTTTGGATACATGCAATGGTTGCTCCCATTTCTAAGAGATTAAAAGGATAAATCACAAGAACTGGCCTCCCTCCATCATTGCTCAAAATCTGAAAGCCCCCTAAAAATCCACATACCAAATTAAAAAAAAAAAAATCAACATTTAATTTACCAATAGGACTATAAGAGAACCTTGAGAAATTAACACCTAAGGAGGTTTTGGAAACCACAAATCTCATCGTGCATGGATACATATAACCCATAAAAAGAAAAACAGGCAATATTGCTCATGTAGCTTCTTTAACTAACTGTTCAAACAGCTGAAATTGTTATAACATTTGGGAAAGTGAGTGAAGAGAGAGAGAGAGAGAGGGAGAGAGAACTGGAGTCCTAAGCTCTGTTATGTGAATGAAAACTCTACAAAGTTTGTAATTTCAACTTTCCCTTTTCATGACCACTTGTTATTCCAGATGCATCTTAAATGCATAGCCAATCATCCCAATATTATTCTGAAATAATTTGAACCAAAATAACAGATTGGTTTCACTAGACGATTAGTATTTGGTTGGGCTACAAGGCTATATCCAAGGAGGATATATACGAGGGGGAAACAACCAATGTTAGAACACCTGTGAGAGAGGCATCACATTTTACAGTTACAATAGGTCTTCACCAAGGCTCAACGCTTAATCCTTATTTATTTGCAAAGAAAAAACATAGATTAATTGACTAAACATGCTCAGGATGAAGTCCCATGATGCTTGGTGTTTGCTGATGGCATTATATTAATAATGAAACAAACGAAGGATTAAATGCAAAATTAAGTTTGTGGGAAAATACCTTAAAACCAAGAGGTTTAAGTAGGACAAACACAGAATATATGCTATATAAGTATAACAACAACAACAATAAGAATGCAAATCAGGGGACATTTAGGATTGAAGACCAAGAGATAACTCAATGTGACATTTTTCCTTTACCTTGGTTTGATAATTCATAACAAGAGATTGAGGAGGATGTCGCCCATAGAATTAGAGCATGATGGACAAGATGGAGGGGTGCATCTGGAGTCTTATGTGATAAGAAAATAGTACTCAGGTTAAAAGGAAAATTCTATAAAACAATTGTAAGACCAGCAATGCTGTATGGAGCAGAGTTTTGGGCAGTCAAGAAACATGTTAAAAAATGTGTGGCAAAAATGCAAGTGCTGACATGGATGAGTGAGAAAATTAGAAATGATAGAGTCAGAAATGACGTCACTTGAAGGAAGACCATCTATAGCACCTGTAAGAAAGTAGACTGAAGCAGTATTTAAAAGGCATGCCTGAGGCGCACCTAGGTGCACAGGCAAGGCGCATTTTAGGGTAGGCGCCTCGCCTAGGTCCTAGGCGCAGCCCATTCAAAAGGCGCACGCCTGGTGCGCCTTTTGAAAATTTGCCGCTTTTTCCTTTTTTTTGAGTCTGGCGGCACCGGAGCTTCGAGAATCCCCTATTTGGTAATATTGTCCATTCATTCATCCTAATAAGATATCTTCTTAAAAGCAATTAAAACTATAAAATTAATATTTTTTGTGTGAAAACTAAGAATTTAAGACCCTAACATGGACTTGTTTGGGCTTGCCTCGAGGGGCGTGGCACAAAGGCGGCTTGTAGAATTAGGAATGTAATATGTCACATTAGCTACTTGATTAAATTGAGAAAAAAAAGAGATTGTGGGTTTTATATGCTTGAAAATGTTTTATATGTTTGATTTCATTTTTAAATTCTCATTTGAATATGCTTTACATATTATATTTATGTATTTTAATTTTAGATAATAGGTTTTTTAAAACATTTATTTTAAAACTTAAGTTTATATTTTTATTAATATTATGTTTTATAATTTTTTGAGTTTTTTTGCATTTTTTTTTGAATTTTTAACCTTTTTTTTTTAAATTGTGCGCCTTGCGCTTTTAAAATACTGGACTGAAGATGGTTTGTCATGTGCATAGAAGACCATCTATAGCACTTGTAAGAAGAAGTGATTTGTTGCAAGTTGAAGGGGCTAGAAGGGCTAGAGACAGACCAAAAAGGACATTGGTTGAAGTAGTAAGAACTAAGAAATTTAACAATGGATATGCATTAAATAGAATAAAATGAAAAAAGAGGATTTATGTAGTTAATGGTTAGGATAAGCTTAGATGATGATGACAATGATATAAAGTCCAATCTTATATACATAGTAGGAGAGTGGCATCACCACTCCATCCTAATTAGTAAAAAAGTGGATTAGGTATATGAAAGGTCCAATCTTGTAGCTATGCAAAATAAACAAAGGCATTGGCTCAAGCAGCTTGAGCCATTGTCTATTTATCAATCAAACCTAACAGCACAAAATCAAAACACAGATTAAATGGCAAAAAACAGATGAAATCTCTCACCCTAGAGATTTTAGACCTATTAGCTTGGTTGGTAGTCTCTATAAGATCATATCCATAGTTCTCTCTCTTAGACCCAAGGAGGTTCTCCCAACCCTGATTTCCCAAAACCAAGGACTTGCAAATTAATGTGTCCAGGACATGGAAAAGTCAAAGAAGAAAGGTTGGGTTTGAAAGTTAGATTTGGAGAAAGCATACGACATGGTGGATTGGTCTTTTCTCGAGGAGATTCTAGTGAAGAGAGGGTTTGGGGAAAGATGGAGAAAATGGATTATGGGCTGCTTTTGCTCGTGCCACTACTCAATTCTAGTGAATAGGGTATTTAAAGATTTTTTCCTAGCAAAGAGAGGCATTCGGCTTCGGCAAGGTAACCCCCTCTCACCCTTTCTCTTCACCTTGGTAATAGATGTTCTAAGTAGGCTTCTTGTTAGAGTGGATGATAGGGGTTTACCAAGGGGAGCTAAGGTAAGGAGGGAGGAAGTAATGGTTTCACATTTACTTTTTGAAGACTATGTGAATTTTATTTTATTTTTTTTTTTTTTTTTTGGTGATACTAATGAGGAGGTTGTTGTGAGGAATTTAAGTTTACTCATCCAATGTTTTGAGAAGATCTCCAACCTTAAAGTCAACCTTTCCAAGAGTCTCGTAATGGGTATCAACTTGGACCAAAGAGTTATAAAACACTTTGCATTTATTCTGTCATCTCCTCTTGGCCTATGTGTTACCTAGGGTTACCCTTCGAAGGAAACCCTAGATCACAAAATTTTTGGAACCCTATAGTAGACAAATTCACAAAGAAGCTATGCCCTTGGAAAAAGTCTAAAAAGGACCATGAGGAATTTTCTTTGGGGAACCAAGAGAGTCTAAAAGAATCACTTATTTAACTGAAATTTGGTAAGCAAAAGGAAGAAGGATGGAGGTTTGGGAATGGTAATGGGAGAGATTGTGAGATGAAATTTATCCTTGTTGGGTGAGTGGTTAGAAAGATTCCCCTTTAGATAAGGACAAATTATGGCATGTTATAATCAAAAGTACCTATGGTCTAGATTTTAATGGGTGAGATGCAAAACCAGTTTAAGTTCTTTGTTGGCCCCCTAGAAGTCAACTTCCAAGTTATATCCAACCTTCATCTCGAAAGTTCGTTATGATGTTTCAGATGGTAGAAAAAATAGATTTTGGGAGGACCTCTAGTGGGGCTATTCACCACTGAAAGACCATTTTTCTCATATTTATGCTCTCTCTTTAAATAAAAACAAACTTGTATTTCATTGTGTAGTTTGGTGCCAAAGCCTCTTTGGGATTTGGGTTTCAGAAGGGGCCTAAGGGAAAGTGAAATCTTTGAGGCATTGAATTTAATTCAATCTCTTAAAAGTGTCTATCTCAACCTTTCTACCTCCGATAGCAGGGTTTGGATTCATTCCCCATCTGGCATTTCTCTTGTGCTTCTTTCTTTTAAGTTCTACTTCCTCATCTTCCCAATTTGGGTTCTTTTCCAGTCAATGCCATTTGGTGGGGTCCACTCCACCCAAGATTAGAGCATTCTATTGGGAGGTTTATCATCAAAAAATAACACTTGTGAGGTCTTGAAGAAAAGGAGCCCAAATGGGTGCCTTTCACCCCACGTTTGCTGCCTTGTTGGTCAAGTGGTGAAACTACTCTTCACTTGCTAATCCCTTGCACTTTCGCTTCTAGAATTTGGGAGCATTTTCTTAACCTTTGTGGATGTAGGTGGATTCCTCCAACAGATTTGAGTAGAAAGGGAAAGATGCTTTGGGAATGCACTAGGGTCGCTATCCTTGGGCAATTTGGGGAGAAAGAAATGCTTGAAGGACGAAGCCAAACAGCTAAAACAGTGATAGAAAATATCAAAGCCAAGGTTGTTTCTTAGGTTAAAACCATGAATATCTTTGTCCACTACTTGGTTGATGATTTAATAAGATGTTAGCATCAGGTTGCTAACTCATAAGGATGCAAACAGATCGGATCAGATTTGAATCATGGTATATCCGAATCCAATCCGATCTGATTGGATCTCATAAATGCTGATTCAAATTCGAATCCAATCAGGATGTCGGATATCCGAATCTGATCCAATCCGATTTATTTTAAAAATAATAATAAATTATTAAAAGGAAAAGAAAATATAACAATTTAAATAAAGAAAAACAAAAAAAACAAGTATTTTTTCAACTATTTTCATATATATATATATATATATGTATATCGGATTGGATAGGGGTGATCCGAATCCGACAAAATAGGATCGGACTTCAGATTCCATCATGATCCGATCTATTTGCACCCCCACTAACTCGTCCATGGAAAGGCCTATTTTAGTTTGTGATTGGTTTCCCCCACTGCTAAACATGGTTAAGCTGAAATTTGATGGATGCAGTTTAGGTAATCTTAGATTGCCAGCTTTGCTAGGCACCACAACAAGAGTCTTAGCTAATGATGTAAATTAAGGATCAATCTTTTTTTTTTTCTCTGGCACTTGTAAATTATTTATAATTCTTTCCTGTTTTTTAATTTAATAAAATTATATCGTTATCCACTAAAAAAAATTCATTTAGAAAATAACAGTAGCCACACTCAGCACTATATTTAAGTAATCAGAACTGCTATCCAAATTCCAAGTAAAAAAGGAGGAAAAAAAAGTACATACCCTGACCACATTGTTCAGTGTTACGTTTAGATACTGTGCTGAACAAGAAGGGGAGAATACAGCAACCTGAAAGAACCATGCCTTCTGTAAGTTTCTTAACTTTGATGCTACTGTAATTAAAACCAAGTTGTCATTCAATTTTATGGGTTGAAGCATGCCTATGAACCTATCAATAATTCTCTACTAATGAAATGAAACCATATGAACAAAATTGCAACTTATATCATGATAAATGATGTGACATGTGTCAATTATTGGAAAAAGAAGCCTCCATAACCTTTTGGAGAATAATAACTGCTCCTACAGAAAGGCTCCTTCCAAATTCGCTATTAGTGAGGACTTTGCGATGAACGCTTGCACCAATGGTACCAGTAGGGTCCTGAAATCAAAATTTTAGCCGTATTAGCTACAGTAAATGCATATTTGTTGCAAAACCAATAAAGCAACTTCCCACAATTTAGCTTCAGAGTTGTTATTCTATTAGTGGAACTACCTTAAGAGTTACAATAAGGTCACCTAGCCCATTCGACGTGCAGGACTTGATAACTGCAACAACCTAATCAGCAACCCAAAATCGAACATAGTTAGGCCCTAGAAAGCCACTATACCAACTACAAATGTCAAAAATAATAATGATGGAAAAGTTAAGCCAAAATTGCTGGACTTGTCGACTTCCAACCTAATGCTCTATCAAGCAAAGAACAGGGATACCTGAAGAACCCTATCAGATCCAAAGCGGGTCTTAATCGAGCACAAAGGGGTTCTCATAACCCCACCTTTCCCCATATCTGAATAAACCCAACAGAAAATTAGCAATTCATAAACGAGAAAGAAAGGAATTTCGCAAACACAGAAAAGGGGAAAAAAGAGGAAGAAGTAGAAAATAAGCAAGTTTATACCAGCTCCTTCAGATTGAAGGAAGTCAATAGCACAGAGCCACGGATTGCGCTTAAAATCCTCATCGTCTTCTCCTTCTTCTTGGGCCCTCCTTAGATACTCCTGCGTGGGGATTCGTTCTTCGCCGGTGGAAAAATTCTGCCTGTTACGGTCCAGCCGGTGCATAGCGGCCTGAACGGCACCGGCGGGACCAGGAATGAGACGACGCGCACTGGTCGAGGAGGGTTCCTCTCTCTCCTCAACCCGAGGTGAGGATGGTATAGAATGATACTCTAGGGCTTCTGAATCATGGGTTATGGGTTGAGATTGGGAAAAACAGCGAAGTTGAGAACAGGGCTCTTGAGAGAGGGACTGTGTGTTTGAAGAGTAGATTCTTTCCGGTTGTGGTGGCTGTTGTTGTTGTAGTTGTTGTGACGGTGGTGGTGGTGGTGGTGCCGGCGGTGGCGGTGGCGGTGGCGGGGGACGCTTGGAAGGGAGGAGCGCCGAGCAACGAACGAGTACGGGTAGGTCTGTATCGTCTACGTCTAATGCTTCCCACGGCTGCGTTTCCATTTCCTCTGTTCTGTCGAGGAGAATTTGGCGGGAGAAATTAGTCCCGGGATGGCTGAATTAAGTAATTAACTAATTGAAAAGTGAAAACTTGCGACTGCTGATGTGAATCTTATTAAAGACTCCAAGTCAGCCGGACTCATGGTATGAGTAGGTACTCTGGATCTGCTACCCACATCTCTACCAATGGACTACCACATCTGTGAATTGGGAACATCTCTCAATAAATGAAAAGGGTGATATTCGCAATGCGCATCTATAATGTCTTGTGGGCACAACTTCAGATCCGAGCCAATAGCTTAGGGAAAAAAACAAAAAAAAAAACTTCAGATCCGAGCCCATAAGTAGGTTTGGAGCATACTACGTGGTTCAGCTCATTCAGTTGGATCAGGATCCCTAATTTGCTGGTCATAGTTGAGTTCGGCTTCTGTTAGGGCAAGTTGGTGCTCGCACTGTTTCCGAGCAGCCCCCTGCAACTAACCGATTTCAATGGATCGATTTTAGATTGGATCCCGTCCGTCCAAAATTAATTTGGACGGATTGAACGGACCAACAAGATATATTCATTCTTAACAAATTTATATTGGATTGAGTTGGATTAAGCTAATATCTGGTCCATTGATATAAGATAAGAATATATGTGTCAATGAATCGAGTTTGGATTGAAACTAATCTAAATCAAAATGAAATTGAACAGATTGGATGGTCCAAACATTAAATTGGATCGATCCAAATTAGTCCAGAATATTCATTGGATTGGATTGGACTTGGTCCATTTACAATGGACTCACATTGGATTGGATTGAATTAGACCAAATCCAGTCCAATTGACACTCCTGAGTTGCAACTTGTGAGTCCAGCTTCGGTAACGGCAAAGCCCGTTCCAATAACCTTTACAGCCTTATGTTGGGAATATCTCCATACTTGTGTGATTTTTTCATGGGAGATATTTCCAATGCAAAATTGCAGGGAGCTATTTGAATGGTGTGAGCACCGTTCAGACAGAGAAATACATGCTCTTTTGAGAGGGCTGATCTGAAGAGATAACACACCACCAGCACCCCACATGCAAATCTCATCTTGCATTGAATACATCTTTCATACTTGTCATCAAGAGATGTTTCCATTACACGGTTGGGATATGCTGTTTGGGTTCCACACAAACAGCCTGCATATAAGCAATGTTTAGTGAAAACTCCGGACAGTTGAAATCAGCAATGTTAAGTGTAACATTTTCTGGCTTTCCCCACACCAATAGCTTATAATTATAAATTGTGTTTAGGGAAAATTTAAAGAACTCAAATTGGCCGTCCGTCAGTCATTCGAAGCAAGGTTTTTAAAATTGACCCGGAGAATGAACAGGTCAGGGGTCCGGTTCCCGGGTCGAATAGTCCGATCACTTGAACTGAACAATCAATCCATTATGATAAAAAATAAATAAATTAAATAAAAAATAAAACGGTCAAAACCGTTTGAACGGTTAGCTGCCCAGATCAGCGGTTTGCTGGCCAAAATCAACGGTTTTTGAGAAAAAATCCAATCTTTTTAGAAAAATGGAACCAATCACCTAACCGATTCCCGGTTTTTCTTGTCCAATTGTCTAGTCCGGTCAGAATTTGAAAACTATAATTCGAATGGCTGTCCACTTAAGCCTCTTTAAATATCTTATTTGAAGTGCTTCAAAGCACCTGAACCAGCAGGTTAGCTGAATCTTCGGTTCAGCCCTCTCAAACTGGTACGGGCCCTCAATTGCATTGGCTTCCAGTTGATTAGTTTGTAAATACTGATCATGGACTGGTCCGGGCCTAAGCTGAACCTAGCACCTATAACATGGTGCTTAACTTAGGCCTCGGCCCAACCCAGCTGATGCCTCAAGAGTCAATAGTGAAATATCGGGCCAGTCCTGGTCCTAAGTAGGCCCAACTTGGGCTTTTGAGATTTCCGAGCCAACATATTTTAATATATTTTATATCATGCCATATTATATAATACATATCATATCATATATAAATATAATATAACATGTGAAGAGTTGGGCGTAGATGTATTGAATCCAAGTCTGGTCATAAATCTTTCGGCTTAACCCAAAACCTATGCCCAAGCTCAAAACTTTGCAGGCCAAGGCTGAGACTGATCACCGCTAGACCTTGTGCTACAAATGGGGACAACTATTTTTTAATACTTTATAGTTTTATAAAAGGATATTTATTTTAATTAATTAGATATATTAACATACTTAAAAATTAAAGAAATAGCATGTTAGGTAGCATAGATCAAGTGAAGTCTTAGGAATTAGGATTCTCAGTGGCATCATCTAAGCAACAAACTTGACTCTGATTCATCATTTTTTTGGAATAACTATTGGAATGGTCCGTGTGATGCATGGGGTATTTGATATTGATGGTGATGTTTGACTATGCTTTTACATCTCGGGCATAGATGAAAGTTTACATATTGTTCAAGTTCTAAGACAATTATATAATATATAAAAAAAGATTATCCTCGCAAAATGCCAATATCTGAATTTTATAATTTATAAAATGTTGGTTGCAAATGCATCAAATTGAAACATTAATGCACCAAATCAATGATAAAATTACATTCAACAGCATTATATATAGATACAGTTCATCCCAATGAAACACAAAATTTATGGAGAATTGGAGATGCCACTCTTAATAAATCTCCCGTTTTGTGATAACCTAAAACCTATGAAAATAATTACTATTAATGGTTAAAAGTAAACTAAACTATTATGTTAATTTGCTAAATTAGTTGGGAGCAAAATTTATCAACCAACCACTAGAGTAACATGTATGCAAACACCTTCTATGCACATTGATCACCTCTACACATTTGTCCAAAAATAAAACAATTGAACGATTCATAACGTGTCATAGTGTTGCCTACTACTAAGGACATGAGTTGCAAGCCCTACTTAACAACCATACACATGATAACATACAGTCCTAGAGACCAAATGCCCTTATAAGACATGGGTCCAACTAACAAACATGTCTAGGGCCCATGGAATGAAATTTATGTATTTTTGTTATATTTTTTTCATTTTTTATATATTTTATAATTTTTTTATTCTGCAATTTCTATTCATCTTTCCATAATTTATGGGTTTCTTTATTGATTGTAATTTCTGTTATTTTTCATCAATTTTTGTGATTTTCAACATTTTTTGTAAAATTTGTATGTATTTCATTGTTTTTTGTAGTTTATATTATTTTCTTCCTTTTCTATGCGTTTCATAATTATCTTGATTTTTTTTCTTTAATTTATGTTATTTTTTACATTTTCTATCTTTATTTGTATATTGTGTATTTTTTATAGTTATATTTTTCAAGAATTTATGTATTATGTGAAAAATTAATGTGTTGGGTAGGTTGGGTTGGGATATGGTGAGTTTAGGTTGAACCCAAAATGGACCATTAATGGGTTGATGGATCAGATGCCCACCCAATGCCTCTTTAGAAAAGATAATGCTTTTTTTGTTGCCAACTACCATCATGCACCCTCATATAGAATTGGGATATGTTAGAAAAAAAAAAATTAAGGGGTAGTATTGGTATGAAAAATCAGGGTCTTTCGACCACACTAACTGAATCATTCTCATTTTTTATATATGGTAGTATATATAAATTCTTATTTTATTCTACATTTTTTATTCATTTTTCTATAATTTATGGGTTTTCCTTGTTTTTTGTAATCTATGTTTTTTTCTTCAATTTTATGATTTTTTATATTTTTTGTAAATTTTCTCTATGTTTCTTTGTTTTTTTTTTGTAATTTATATTATCTTTCTTCATTTTTTTTGTGTTTTTTTCACAATTATTTTGCAATGACAATATATACAATGAAAAAATAGAAAGTTGAGGGTAAAGTTGGAAAGTAAAATCAGGGTCTTTCGACCAAACCAATTGCAACATTCTCATTTTTCGGTATGGTATAGATTTGTAATTTATGTTATTTTTATTCAATTTTTATGATTTTTTTTGTAAATTTTTTATGTATTTCTTTGTTTTTTGTAATTTATATTGTTTCTTCATTTTATGTGATTTTTCATAATTATTTTGCAATGACATATATATACAATGAGAAAAAAATAGAAAGTTGAGGGTAAGGTTGGAAAATAAAATCATGGTGTTTTGACCAAACCAATTTCAACATTCTCATTTTTTTAGTGTATATGGTGTATATATATAGATAGATAGATAGATAGATATAAAAATTTCAATAAATTTCTATATATATATATATTTTTTGTGGTTAACACCCATCCTTCCTTACCGGATAAGATGGAAAATTAATCTATTCTTTGAAATTAAGTAGAAAATCAAATAAGAAGCTAGGCAACATGATTTTTTTTAAATGAAAACAACTGCTATATGAGCAAAATCACGGGAATCTCTTATCTTTCTCTATATAATAAAAAATATAAAATCAAAGCAAAAATATTCTCTCTCCAATTCCCGAAATTAAAATTTTAAGCAGTTCCGTAGTTCTGTTTCTACTTCATAATCTAGAAGGGAGTGTTCAGACAACATGATTGATTTTATTTTTGAAAATAAAAATAATTATTAGATCAATAGAAAATAATATAATTACAAAATCAATCATGTTGTAAAAACACCCCAAATCAGTTTTGACTGTGACAGGCAAGCATGTGAGTACTGGGCGCCCAAGTGGTCCATCGTTAGTCTACCACAAAGATCAACTCCATGGATCACAATAGACAATACCATCCCATACTGAATAAGGGCTTTGTTTGGAGCTCACCGTTGAGAAAAATTTAGGTTGGGTTTTTATTTGATTTTTTTTTTTTTTGTTAGAGGTTAATTGGGAGACTGAATCAAGTTTGAGTTGTAACAAAGAATCCATGAAACCACTATTGATGTAAAATAAGCTCAAACTTAGGCCAACCAGTATGAATTAATCCATTCCTTGTTCATGCTTTCTTCAAAACATACAAAAGATTGATAATTTTCAATTCAGCATTGCTGATTTTGATTAATTCCAGCAAATTTTGAAATTGGAATCACCTAAAAACAGCAAAAACTCATTCTTGATCCATAATTTTTTTTAAATATTTTGAAAATGAAGCACTATTAGTATCTAGTATACCCAACTTTAAAAGTTATTTTTGTTTAATTTATTCATGACCAAAAGAAATTCACTTCAACTTAACGCAATAATAATAATAAAAAGACTAATATTTTTATATATATATATATATATTTTTGGTATATAATTTGGTGTTTGCTTTATCTGAAAGGCAGACCGCAGAGATGCTTATTCATCACTATGAAAAAGAATAGAAGAAAATATAAGATTTTTCACGGTTTCAAATCCTGCACCTTTGTACATCATCAATTCTCCTTTTAGAACCTACTTACCATCTCTGCCTATTTGTACAGAATGTTTTCATAGAAGGTTCTATTTTACCATCAAATTATAGCTTCCCTTCAAGCTTATATGAACAAATAAGATGTTATTTTCTAGAGTAGAAATCTTATTTCAATTTTAAAACTAATAACCGAATCAGTACAAAACAAAACTCCAAAACCTTTCATCTAATTGTCTTTTCTTTTCCTTCAGTCAACTTGAAGATCTATGGTTATTCTTTCACTTGTTACTTGTCTAGCACTCTCATCACAAAGTCTGTTGCCCTTGTTGAGCTGTGTTGAGAATTCACAAATTTCTATTGAAATTTGGCTCCGTTCGGTTCGTAGGAATAGGGGTCTGGATTTATAATCGGAATGAGCTATTTCATTTTCAACTGTTTCGTTGGGTGGAATCGAAATCTCGCTTTTATTCATGCTGGAATGTCATCCCCTCTGCCCCTCCTATGGGAATGAAATATCATTCCTGCTGATTTTAATTCCTATTCCCTTTTTATCTCTGAATCAAATAGATTATGGGAATAAATCATTCTGATTCTGATTCCAATTCTGACTGCAAACCAAATGGATCCTTCATTTTTCCTATTAATATATAAAGTGTTTTTCTCCACATCAGCTTATTCTCTCTCTTCTTCCGTTTGCTTCCAATCATATCAAAATTTCATAATTTTTGAAATTTCTAAAATAAAAAATCAAATATGTGGATATTTAAACTCACCCACAAGCAATTCAGTCTCCCTTCTAGGAAAAATCTATGCTGCCAGAAAGACATAATAGCTTAAGGGCTTTGAACAATCAATCCCCTGGTGGAATTTGATGAATACTACTTGATTAATTACCAGTTTTATGATATTGATTAATTAGGAAATTGAATATGATTGCTCCCGTGGTCCCCTTCTAACACCGATCCATGCATTGCACATGCCTTTTCTAGCTTGTTGTTAATAAGAATAATGTTCTTCTCCATCATTAAAGTCAACAAATCTAACCCCCAATTCATTTTAATGGTAGAGACCACTACTACCAATCCTATAATGTTTTTTTTTTTTTTTTTTAAATTTGTTACTTCTAGGTAAAGCCAATTCCCACTTGCAATTAAAACCCCAATTGTGACAGATTGCAATTAAAACCCCATCATCCTTCATCAAATCTACAGTTTCAAATAACTTTTTGACATCAAATTTGTAACTCAATTAGCAATTAGGGGATGGATGTCAATGTAAATTGATTTTATTGTTGTTAATTACAAAAACTAATTAAAATCGTCTGGTTTGAAAATAAATTGTTTTCAAAACAAAAACATGAAAACATTTTCTGTTTCTATAACTGAAACCACAATCTGGTTTGAAAAATATATATTTTTGTTTTAAATCATACAATATATCTTATCATCCTTCATGAATCATATAATATCTATTTTCCAACATCTGTTTTTGTCATAATATGTTTAATTAAATTAACTTATTTTTGCTTCTCATTAATTTCTAACAATACCAGTTACTGTGCAGAGCCGTCAGCCTTATACTAATTGTTGAAAAATCATCGACTTTAATCTTAACTTTCTTAACTTTTTTTTTTAAAAGAAACGAAACGCAAACAAACAGCACCAAGACAAAGCCCACCAAACTACTCTCCTTAGCCTACGAGACCACACCTTAACCAAAACGATAAAGACAGGACTTAAAAAGGCCCAGGGCTAACACAGAACTCAAAACAATCGAACCCCTGACAAACACCTTACCTAAAGCCAGTGCTACTGCCACTGCCACTGCCACTGCCTCTCCACTTCCACTGAAGTGTCCACGTAGAGGGTTGACTAGCCTTTGAATCAAATTCACGTTGAATTCAAACCTTAGGGTAAGGTTGACTATTATTATTCGAGTTTGAACTTGATGAATAAAAGGTCTGTTTCAAAAGCTTACAAGTTTGATTTGACTAACACATACATACATACATATTACCTCTATTTAAACTCATACAAATTTCCCACCAATATGAGTTTAGAGAGGGACATATGAACACAGCCTTATCCTAGCATATACACAAAGACTCTTTTTCACCATTGGTCATAATTTTTTCATAAGAAAACTATATTAAATTATTATGACAAACCTTTTGAAAAAGGAAGCCCACATTGTATGGCCTGTGTGGCAGGTTAGGGCCTGGTTTCAATCTCTTTTGTTGGTTGGCAATTGGCATAATGTGTGGGGGAATGGGGGCTAATATAACACCCCCCCAAGAAAGCGACAGCAATTGTCTTAACGGGGGTTCAAAAAGAAGAATAAAAACAAAAACACTTCCAACGTTATTTATAATTTTATGCTAGTAGAGTCAATTCGGGAGGGTTTTCTACTTATTAGATGGCTCTGAATGTCCACATCATCTCTCCACATGGCAAAAATACGACAGCCTTTTTTCCCCATAATCAAATGGCCAAAAATGAAAAATCATTTATTAATATATATTGATTTGTGTTATATTTTGGTTGGAACCTGTTCAATGATCCATCCCCCATGTTTTCAACCTACTGTTTATCTGATTGGTCACGATTCTGGTTCTGGTCAACTTGTGGTCTATCATCTAAAGCATATTGACTTAGTCATTAAGCGGGTTACATGGTTTTATATTTATTTAATTGTTTTTGAAACTTTTTTATTGCTGTAATCTCTCACGAGTTGATTCTTTAACCCCAAACGAGTGAACCGATGACCGGTCCACCCGGAGAGGAAACTGGAAAGCGCTTCATCCACCGCGTATAAGCTTTTAAAACATTGATAAGAAGTTAAGAACCTTTTTATCTGTTCACCTAGGATACCGAATTCGGGATGATACCTACCAGGCTACCAAGGCTACCATACCACATAGGACGAATGGGCTCCACGAGTCACGGAGGCAGAATGTCCGAACTCCGAACCCACTCACTGAAGCCGATTTCTTTCTGTCCCTCCCTGGTAGCGGACCTAGCGGTGGGTAAAAGTAAAACCTCAGACTCAGAACTCATAACGCACGCTCCCCGGTCTTCCCCACAACGCGGGCCCCACTTTAAGTAAGCCACGTGGCAACTTTGGCCTTTGCCAACGCTTTTCACGGGCTCAAATTTCTCGGTCAAACACGACGTCAGAACTTAAAACAATAAACAGATAACAGCCATTAAAATAATCCTTTTTTCTAAAGAAAGCACCCCAGAAAGTCGTTAAATACCAGTGTTCAAACAAACGCTTCCACAGGAATGGAAGGAAGGAATGTTGCCTGGTTCTGGTTTCTAAACAGATAGACGAGCACATGATTAATAATTAAGATTGACTGAACGCGGGGCGCTGGTAATTGGTGAGGAAATCAAAGGCACGTCAAGGTGAGGTGGGTTCTTGCAAAATTATTAAAATAAATAGAGAGAAGAGGAGGGTCAGATGGAGTCGCCGGGTCATAGTCCGAACAGTTCTCATTCTTCATCGTTGTCAATGGAGAGCTTGCTGGGTCTTCTCAGAATCCATATTCATCGTGGCATCAATCTTGCCGTTCGGGATGTCGTAAGCAGTGATCCTTACATTGTTATCAAGATGGGTAAACAGGTTTGGCTTTTTTGGCGCTTTAATGATCATGCTCTTCCTTTCTCTGGTTTTGGTTGTCCCTGTTTTTTTGCCTACCTTCATGGGTTTGTATGTGTTTGACCCTGGGTTTTCGTTCCAATTGAGCTCTTCTATACCACTGAATTTGGTATAGTTGCTATTTTTCATGGTAGAATTTGATGAGTTTTGCTTTACCATCTTTCCCTATTAACTCTCGCCCTCCCTTCCTCTGTCTCTGTCTGCGTGTCTGTGTGTGTAGATGGGATTTTGGTTGTTTCCCTCCCTCCCTGTGTGTGTGTGGTGAGGTTTTGTTTTTTCCCACTTGGCTTAGTGGCGATATGCATGAATTTGTTTGATATGGGCCATCCAATTGAAAGGTGTGGGTTTACAGATACGATGGTAGATCTTGTTACTGGATGTTGTAAATTCCATGTAGGTTCCTTCTTATTTGTCTTTTTTATTTGGAGATGGAGCTGGTTTGTGAAGAATCTTCGTACTTGGACAAACATGTGGTATTCAGCAATTAAAAATGGAACCCCGTCCTGGATATGGCGTAGGTGAGGATGTGGCCAAGCTTTACAATATCCATCTAAATGATTCGAGGGCTTCATCCTCATGTAGGTTTGCAAAGGTTGAACTTTCAGGTTAACCCCGTTTTTTATTCCTTAACTTCTCTGTGTTCAAGCAAAATGTTTCTGGTCGTATCATGGGGTGTGACAATGGAATTCCCTCTGTTGTCAAATTTCATGAGTTTTCTTGAAAAAATAAGCAAACTAATAAGAGATTACTTTCTAATATTGGTTCTGATATCAAACTCTGTTACATCTGTATAATCACGAGCCAATCTAGAAATTTGGTAGACTTGACAGTCATCAAACATCAATTATTTTCCATGTTATTGACTGGTGGAAGGCTGGAAGCTTTTCTATCTTCATCATCTTCCAAAAGCTAGCTGTCTAGTTAATCTTTTATCTTCCAGACATACCCTATGCTTCTTGTGGATTTTATGCTTATTTTCTTCCAATATTTTGTGAGCTTTTAGTGTTTTGCCTTTTCTTTCATTTGTGTACTAATTCGGTGTTATCTGTTGATGCAACTGATTAGTGCTTGAGTAAGTTAGAACTCTCTGCTATCATCACAGGGGGCTCAAGTTATACAACTTAAAGCTCTCTACCACTGTGTGAAACTAGTGGTCCAGCTTTAGAATCTTGAGATTGTTTAGATAAAATCAGGGAAATATGCAGGTTGGACTTTGATGTATGATCATTGTGGCTGTTGGATCATGTATTGATGTTTGTGATAAGTAATCTATCTTTTGTGATAAATAGTTTATAGACCGAGTCTGGAGGCATATAAGTATTGGTGGTGATTGACCTAACTGACTGCAGTTAGGTCAATTTGATAGCTGAGTCATCCTTGTGCTGAGTTTGTGGCACCTTTTGTTTAATTATGGATTTCATCATTTGGTTATCTTTTTGATTGGCTCAGTAACTCCGTCTATACCTGTGTACTAGATGTCTTTTATCTTGGTGGTATGATTCATGTGTTGAACACTACAGAATTCAGTTCTTCATGGGGTATTCCTTGACTTTGGGTGTTAAGGTCCTAAAGGCTAAATAGATTGGCTTGACGTGTTTCAACAGTCTTAAGGCTTTTGGTGTATTGGTCAAGTGTCTAACAATTGGTATTAGAGCCTACAGAAAGAGATACCTAGAGTAGAGTAAGGGAAGTTATGGAAAGGGCTATTTCGAGCAGAGTGAAAGCCACCAGAGGGAAGGGCTACCTGCTGCTAGAGTGTGAGCCATTGTGGAGAGGCCTAGCTACTGCTAGAGTGAGAGATTCCTAGAGTGAAGCCACTAAAATGTCAGCTATAGAAGCATGATGGTAGTTCTAAAGGTTAAATGGCTTGGCTTGATACATTCCAAGTCTTAAGGCTTTTGGTGTATTGATAAAAAACGTACCATTGGCTTTTGGGCTTGAATGCTGTTTCCTATCCTGTGTTCTAGGTTCTTGGATATTTTGGTGTGAGGATACTTTTATAAGATGGGGAATTGTGCATTAGTATTAGAAGATGTATCTCTTGAAAAGAACATCACTTTGGGGAGAAAGTGTTCTTGGTAAGAAAATTTATCTTTATCATTCTTAATGGTGCGGTTCTCAGTGTAATCTCCCTTGATATTAGTAGATTTTCTAATTGTTTTTTCTATGGACATAGGGAATACGCTGAACAATATAAATCCTTGTGTTTGTGTTTGTGTTCTCTTCTCTATTATTTTTTCATTTTGTTACAGTTTCATCCCTCCTATATGTTCATTACTCTACACAACAAAATTATCACTGTGTCTCCATTTGCTTTTTGGTTCTACCAATAATTGACAATTTCTATTTACCCAAATTAATTATGTTAGACAATATGGCTTATTTTTCATCTTCTTGGGATTCATGATGGGTTTCTCTTCTTTGCCACCTAAGTTTTGGGAAGTTCCTTCTCACGATCCTTATTCCTGTAAGATGCTGGTTGACGCTTAAGACAAGTTAGTCTGATAGGTAGAGAATAGTAAGATGTAGAGGAAGAGTTAAAGGAGAAGAGGCAAACAAAGAAGAGGTAGGGACATAGAGATCGGTTAATCCATCCTTTCTTCTTCTTTTTCTTCTTCTCCACTTAAACTCAACCTACTTGTTTACAATCTTCTAACATAACGGCTGGTAGATACAAGGCAACATCAATGGATACTATTGCTTCAAAATCCAGTGAAGTGTTCTCTGAATCTAGGGGGAAATCCAGAAAGTAGTTTCTGGTTTTCTTCTAGTAGCAGAGGATTATAGAAAATAACAGAGAACAAAAATTAACTTGGCAATTACTAAAACTGTAGCTGGATCAATTAGAATCCTAGAAACTCCTAAGAATAAAACTTGGAAAACAAACTTAGCAAGATAGTAGTTAACTCAGACTATGTTTGAATAAGCTTCTTATTTTGAGCCTTGTAAACAAAAATGCAACAAAGAAGTGTTTTAAGCATTTGTTAAGTGTTTCTTTTAAAAACATAATCTAAAGTCAAAACACTTTTAAGCCGAAGAACACAGCGCTTAAAGTTGGGACTTTGCGCTTTGGGGCTTTAAGAGCACAAACCCTGAAGCTTATCCATAAGGACCAAAACCAACCTTAAACTAGTTATTTCCTAAACAAAATAGAAAACTACTAATTGTAGACCTAACAAACAAAAACAGGAAGCTCCTTAAAGAAAATAACAACTGTTTTCTTTTTTTTTTAATTAGATTATAAATTTAGAAAAATGCTATCAAATTCCAAATCTAGGTGCAACCATTTGATTCATTAATTTTCTTTCATATGTTTTGTAACTTTGGGATGATCAAATCTCTCTGAAAATTGATTTGTCATATCCTTTATTGCTGTAGAAGGCTGAATTATGTCAATTTCCCATAGTAAATGGCAGGGTGGTTATTGCTATTGCATAAGCTCTGAGAATAAAGCAAGAATGTAAACATCCCATCCCACCTGCCAAAAGAGAAAGAAAAGATAAGTAAAATAGTGCCATCATATAGCATGTAGGGCATCTGAATTCCTTACATAGGCTGTCAAGAGTCAATCATATAGTGTGACAACGAACTATGCATTTCCTCTTGGTGCATTGACACTTAATTGATTATGATTATTTTGCCAATGTCATATTTGATACAGTGATGGATAAATGGATTATCAGAAGTGGAAGTTTACTTGGGGATTAGACCTTGGCATAAGTCATTTCTCATATCCCTACAAGTCCCTTGGCATTGTATACTTCATGTGGCATGACTAAGAACTGCTTCATCTTCATGACCGTACTGATATTAATCATTATTAAGATTCCAAAACATAGAACTGGATGGTATACTCTGCATATTCAATATGACTATGCCATTAATATGTGAAATTTGTCAATGGTGAAGCTGATAAGATTCAAATACGTCAGTATTGTCTAAAAAAATGAAGATGTGCAAAATACAAGAATATTTATCATGATTACCTAAATTATTGTTTTTGTTTCATTTGGCTGTTTCTGGAATGTGGTGGAAAAGGAAATGGAAGAGGGACAAGGGACCCAAACCCAATTCTGTAATTTTTCAACTTTCACAGTTTGGGTCCAAAGAAATTTTGCTTTGCTGAATATGGAAACTTATGGCTTTCAAAATACAAACACCTCTGTTTAGAAAATTTTGAAATCTACTCTTTTTGGGGTGTAGAGTGATATTCTTTTCCTCTGATTTTCTGCCCTGGACCAAACCCCTTCCTGTGTGAATCCAGAACAACCTTGGAGAATCCATAGGTTGTATTCCATGGTTTCCAGTTTCTCCTCCTCAAGAAGATTTAGAAGTTATTTTCTCTGATATATGAAGATTCCCTTTCTTTGCCAAATGGCCTCTTTACAAACAAACTAGGGGCCTTTATTCAATGTTGACCCTGGCTATCTGGGGTCTTTAAAGGGGTGGACTGTATACAGACCTAACCACCAGCATTTTCTTGAATAAGTGGTTGCTCTCAGACTCTAATCCATGTTCTTAAGTTTTTAAGTCTGACATTTTGCCACTGCACCAAGCGATGGCCCTTGCATTTCTGATGTAAAAAACCCTCCTAAATAAAATTACTAGTAACAAGAACTTCAGGAGAATACCAACCCAATGTAGTCTTGTAAGTTTAACTTCAGGTGAATACCAACCCTTGTAAGTTTACTGAGTATAGGAGGAAAGACATTGTGAATCATATATTGATAGGTGATGAGATGGTGTGCATGAGTAGTGGTAACTAACATGCTGACTGTAGGGATGGCAGTAGGTCGGGCTAAGTGGTAAGCACACCTTGATCCAACCTTATCAAGTCAGGGTCAGGTCAGCCTTAATTGGGTTTGGCTTGATGTCAACCCAGGACAGACCCGGCCCATTTACATGGTAGCATTGTAATAATTGTAGATATTACCCTTAACTGAGTATAGGACTATATGGTTACTATTTCTGGGACAGGCGGATTGGGTTCAGTATCCCATTTTATTTAGTCAGGTTGGGTTGAGCAAAACCTCCGTTGACATCCTTAGTCAGGACTACCAACTCTTTGATTCATTCCTATTTTCTTCATATAGGTGGATTTAAAGGTTTGAGTCATGAGGCTATATTATATCTTCTTCATGAATGGAAAAAGGATTTTCTAGCCCTCTCACTTATTGTATCTTTTTATACTTGGTGTACTTGAATGATATGAATTACTGAAATAAGATTTTAGCATATATTTTTCATTTTGGGACAACTCTAAGTAATAAGCAAGAGTATTTTGTATCATTATTTTTTATTAAAAGTGGAAGGAATTAGTTTTTTCTCTCTCTCTCTCTCTCTCTCTGGACATGCCACATCAAGGGTATTTTAATTATTTTGCTTTCCACATTCAATACTTAATGATTTTTTTATTCATTTGCTTTTCTAATATTTTAAAAAACATTTGCTTGATTTGAATTTTTATATCCTTCACTGGTAGGTCAAACTTTAGTGGTGGTTATATTTAATCTTGACATGGTTTCTATGCAGTTAGCTTGTACTGATAGTCTGATATTAAGATTCATGTTCTTACTTGAAACTAAATTGTTTAATTGGTGATATTTGTCAATGCTGAAGTTATGAATCCAACGCAGAAATTGAAGACTCGTGTAATGAAAAAGAATATCAATCCTGAGTGGAATGAAGATTTAACCCTTTCTGTGGCAGATCCTGAGCTTCCAATCAAGCTTGTAAGTATTTATTTTTTTGATTGGTAGATCATAATTACTTTTCCTTGCTTCTGGATTCTTGTCTTCTCCCATATGGGAGGAAACACATAAGGGCATAAAATACAACAACAATTCTATCTATACCAAGTAGAAGTTGGGCTAATTTGTACATGATGATAGTCATGCATTATATAATTTATTTATTTGTGGCATAAACATCAAATTATTAAATGTAGCCTAAGGTTATTGGATGTCCTTTTGGTGTAAATGCATATAGAAAAAATAATAAAGAACTGATGTTTATATTAGAGGTCAAGGTTTTGAATATAGTTATATAGAACTGCAGGTGTCCGCAATCTTCCATGAACAGAAAAGCTATAAAACTAAAATCTTCTATTAAATTTATTCAGTGCCTGTAACACCTGGATACCTGTACCAAGGTGCTATATCATGTTGAACACTCAATTTAATGTAAATTTCATATCCAACAATGCATCCAACCATCTTCTTGCAGTATTTGTGTAACACAGTGAGTCCATATAATGTAGATAGTTGTTTATCTGTGTAGTCTATTATATATAATCTGTACCAAATGTGAAAAACGGAATGCCACCTTTGCTTTATTGTGGGTCAAGAGCAGTGTTTCTGTTTTACTTTAGATGATTTTGGCTCCTGATGGATTGTTTTTCATGCCGTTGGGATTCTCTTAACTTTATTACATGAAGGAATGTTATTTCCAGAGAAATTTTAATGCAGTGGAAATGTCAAGAGAGATTTTCGGTGCTGACTGCTAAAAGACAGTTTTATTTGCATCCAGAAAATCCTGCACAAATTTTGCTAGTCATCATAACTGTCGTCATCTTTTGTTGTTGCAGACAGTATATGATAAGGACAAATTCAGCCTAGATGACAAAATGGGAGATGCAGATATTGACATTAAACCATTTCTAGAAGCTGTAAAGATGCATTTGGTGAATCTCCCAAGTGGTACCATAATACAGAGAGTACAACCTAATAGGCAAAACTGCCTTGCTGAGGAAAGCTGTATCATATGGCAAGATGGCAAGGTTGTCCAGGATATGTATCTGAGACTGAAAAATGTGGAAAGCGGTGAAGTGGAACTTCAGCTGCAGTGGATTGACATCCCTGGTTCCAGAGGTATATAGAAGTCATGCATGATTGGCTTCTTCTGGGCTTCTGTAGCATATATGCGGTTGTCACTTCATTATCAGCATCAACAAAGTTGCCTACATTTGTTTGTTTTACCATAGACGTGTATGTCACATTCACGTTTAAAAATAAGCTCATCCAATATATATATATATATATTTATATTGTTATAATCAAATAGCTTATTATGTAGAACGAAACTGTTTCTTTGGGTTGCATCTTTATAATAATTACTACTTTGATGTGTAATTCTCATTGCTTGTTTGCAGTTTTCATGATTTGAACTTGCAGATTAGACATTCTGTTTCTTCTGGGCTGCCTGCAGATCATAAGGCCTTCTAATATTTTCTTATTTTACCATTCTAATAGAAATAGTCCATAATCTACTGAGCTTTATTACCTACACAAAGTTATTTCAGACTCCACCCTCTTCTAGATATTTTGAAACTCTTGCAAAAGGTATTTCAGTTAGATCATGGGGTGGGAGGGTATTTGCAATTCCAAGACCCCATAACCAAAATAGCTCTGCAAATATGCCTCTGATTGGTTTGATAAGTTGGTAAGGAGATTCCCAGTAAGGCTTTACAACAGGTTCCAGACATCAACAATGTCTAGAGCCACCCTTTTCACTTCTATTCATTGCATATGGTCCTGATACACCACAGAGGCAGCTTAGGTGGCTATTGAAAGATTTCTGTATTAGTCATTGAGTAATGACCTTTTACCTCTGCTACATGCTGAAGATGCTCATGTATAAGGATCTAAATACACACAATGAAAAATCAAAACCAAGAGAAACATGCAGAGAAGACTAAGGTATATGTGATTCGGCAATGTGTGCCTATTTCCATGAATGAAACGCCCACGAAATCCCATTATATTCTTAACTGGTATGAGCATGATAATCCAAGGTTGCTTCCTCATGCTAGTCCCTGGTGAGTAGTAATGTTTTCCTCTTGAAACCCTAATTAATAATACCCAAAATACCCATGCATGGAAAGTGTGTATGAACAGATTTTCACCTGCATGGCTTGGAACTGCAGCGGTTGTTTACCTGCTTAAATGGTACCAACTTTAAGCAATAAGAATTGTAGGATAAGTTCAGACTTTGATTTTTGATAAGAAACATCAGATGTGAAAGTGCATTGTACAAAATTCATGAATCGGGCATTGTAGTTCATTCATTTAAATAGTGCGAGTAATGAATCTGGCTTAAAACTTTACTACTGGAGCTGCAAGAGAATAGGCCCATACAGGATGGTGGTTGGATAGGGATACGACAGACGGTCTGTAGAATTTTAGTTGGAAGAGAACACTTAAAATATCTAAAAAATTTAGGGATAAGTTTTAGATATTGTCAATAAAGCCAAGGGAGGTTTTAGATGATTTCCCAGAAAGAATCATTGGTTCAATTAACTGTATAGATACATGTTGATGCAAAGCACAGTTTCATGACATAAAATTAATTGGGCTTTCTGAGTTACCCATACTAATATTTTGAACAATCAAGAGTTTGATATCATTGATATGAATCCAAATTCTGTGAATTCGGATTTACTCCTTGCGCCAACCTTACAGCACATTGCAGCCGTGTATTGAGAATATTTCCTCGTGAATAATAACATACAAGTATAAGAGATGTTTCTAACACCAACCTTACAGCATGTTGCAGCCGTGTATTGAGAATATTTCCTCATGAATAATAACATATAAGTATAAGAGATGTTTCTAATATGCAGCTGCAAGTTCTGTAAGGAGTAAATCCAGATTCAAGTTATGCACATTGTATTGCAGGTTCAAGTTAATGAGAAGATCCTATCTCTTCATCATACAATGGATGATTATTTTGCAATCAAAATCATTGTATTGCAGGTTCAAGTTATGCACATTCGTTGATTCAGATGGATGACCACCATTTCGGTACACTTGACCAATGTTTGGGAGTGCTTAAAAATAAGTGCTTATTTGGGTCATTAAGCACTTATTGGTATTTGGGAAATAATCCCAAAATAAGTGCTTATTTTTTAAGTCCAAATTTTCAGCTTTTTTAAGTGCTCATACAATAAGCATTTATTTAAAATTTCTCTTTCAAAATTATCCATAGTTGAATTTTATAAAAGTACTTTTACAAAAGCACTTTTAAGAAAGTACTTTTATGAAAGCACTTTTATGAAAATACTTTTATGAAAGCACTTTATAAAAGTACTTTTACAAAAGTACTTATAAAGTACTTTCATAAGGGTACTTTCTTAAAAGTGCTTTCGTAAAAGTACTTCTATAAAAGTATTTCTATAAAAGTGTTTTTGTAAAAGTGCTTTCATAAAAGTGTTTTTATAAAAGTAACTTAATAAAACTGCTTTCAAAGGGTATATTTTGAAAATTTGAAAGAAAATGAAGGACAAAATAGTCACAAATGCTTATTTAAGTGCTTATTAGAGAAAAAGACTATCAAACGCCCAATTTAAAATAAGTGCGTATTTTAAAAAATAAGCACTTGAAAAAGTTGGGTGCCAAATGCAAATAGGTGCTTATTCGAATAAGCACTTATTTTTAACTTAAGCACTCCCAAACATGACTTTAGAATATTTAATTGATTTTCCTAGTTTTTAGGTTAGATGGTAATTTTAGTTGAATTTGCTACTTTGTCTTTGTTTTTTTTTATATTTTTGGGCAGGGGTACAGTGCGTAAAGGAGAGTTTGTAAGGTTTGTGGGAAAGGTGGGCTATGTCCTCCCCTATTATAATGCGATAAATTTGATTTAAGACTTAGAGGGTGTAACTTTTGTGGGTTAGGATTAGAATTTTGTCAAAATTTCAATGAGTCTAATCTGAAGCCCGAATCCAAAACAATATAAACTGTTAGGTCAGACCAACCTGACGTCCCGAGTTACACCCTTACAAGGACTTTTTTCCTTTCCAACTTCTGTTGGAGGATTCTCTAACGCCTCCTTAGAAATTGACTACCATTATTGGTGATTGCAGAAGTTTGGCTCTCTTTTTTTATGTGCAACTTTTTTACATATTTTGCGCAACTTCAATTGAATTACGCATAGATTAGTGCAGTATGCTTATAACATCCAAAGTGACCATAAGTGGTTCGTCGAACCACTTTTTTTCTTAAGTAGGTTTATTGCCAAATTATAAGTTAAAAGAATAGCCCTCAATTATAATAAGGTCTGACCCGATAGTCCCCGATTATAGGTCTGGTTCGAAACTGGTTTTATGCATTTACTTATCAAGATGGGACTACCCTGACCTGGACCAACCTGATCCATCGGCAGCAGTAGTTGGTCAGAAAGGTAGAAAAAGGAAGAAAAAGACAAGAAAATATATATAAGGTTTGTAAAGATTTTCCTACCTTTCCCTACATTTTCCTTCAAACCAAACACAGACTAAGAACAAACATCAGCTAGTGAGTAGTGAACTTGTAATTATATTCAGTGGGCCTCACATTTCTACTACCTCATTATTTTTTATTTTGTAAGCTCATCTTGATTCTCCTTCCATTTGTACAAGGAGTCAAGGATACAGGAACAAGCTATCTCTGTCATACACACATTCTTTTTCCCATGATATAGAAGCTGTCAAGGTGCGTAATGAAATAATCTTCTCCCGGGCACATCCAGGAGAGGGCCACTTTTAAGGTGGAGTCGCCAAACCCAAAAACTGTGGGCCTGCTGGGGAACAGAACCAAAGGATAGAAGCAAATAGACACCACCATTTGCAGCGGAGTGAACAATGGAGCCCATCCCAGGCCCACCCACAAGAAGGCCTCTTTCATGGCCAAACCCAAAAAAACTGTGGACCTGTTGGCGGACAGAATATATAAAAGGATAGAAGCAAAGAGGTTCCACCAGTGGCAGCAGAGTGGAGAATGGATCCCATCCCAGGTGAGTGGTGACAGTTCCCACAGGCTTTGCCAACTTTCATAGCTGGCACCTTTGAATTTTCCAGTCTTTGCACTGTTCGGCCTTTAGTTATTATTATTATTATTATTATATATAGCAGGCATTTTTGTTATTCTGAGTCATCTAAAACACATCTGAAAACATTTCGTGCATGGGAAAATCTATGATACCGGAAAGGCATTGTATTGGAAGAGATTTGACCAATCAAAGCACCCCCGTGAATTTGATGAATACCACCTTATTTGTCACCTCCTTTATGATACTGATTGATTGGCTGTAAATTTTTTTGGTATCACAGTTAATCCTCCATACATAGCGCATTTCTTGCCAATTCAGACCCTTTTCGTCATTTCAGACGTATAATTCAAAAATTAACACAAATGAGAACCTTTAAAAAAAACAAATTGTCATATTTTAGACCCTAATTTTGGACAAGAGCAAATAGTTTTATATAGCCTTTTAATCAAAACCAGCTTAAAACAATGCAAATTTGACCAAATCAACATTTCTAAGAACTGGACAGTTAAAAAAGCATTTTCGGCCATTCCCAGTCTAACGGTCCAACCAATATGGTCCAGTCCAAATCCGCCAACACTATTTCTATTAAACCTTGTTGGTTGATATTTCTTTTCCAAGTCAGAGTTATTCTCATTCCCTTAGTGTAAGCTGTTTCTAGCATACTTTTTGCTCGGTAGTACTCGAGGTATCCTAAAGGTGTAAAATGGTCTTATCTTGGGCCCCAGGGAAGGCTGGGTCAGTTCTCAGTAATCAGGCCCTGAAACTGTGGACCTGTTGGGAAAAAACATCACACACACACACAAAGGATAGAATCAAACGGGTCCCACCAATTTGCAAGGAAAGTTAACTGAGGAAGGGATGTGATCCCAAGAGAGTGGTGACAATCGTTACCGATTTGCCACCCACTCTACCTGGCATCTTTATGTTATCTAGGTGTACTCACTGTAGCAGCGTCATGTATGGGCCAAATAGGTCCATTGGAAAAGAGATTTTAGGTGCAGGTCATATATGAAACGAGTAAAGTTCACTGTGTTGGCGAAAATGGCCCTGAATTTTTGAGACCATGATTTTATTGGCCTTCGACCCTGGCCAACCTGGTAGAAGCAATTTATATTGGGTTTATAAATGTTCATCCTGAGCCCATCTCCAAGTATATTTGGGCTGGATTTGAGTTGATACTATGGTAGTAACCAGGTATAATTCAACTATGTTTTTGTTTTTAAAAAATAAT